GAGATTGTTACAATAATGATGAGGGCCTGAGCCAGGGTGGTAGCCATGAAGGGGATAGATGTAAGAAGTATTGTGGAGATAGAATCAACAAGACTTAGCCACTGATTGGATAGCAGTGTGTGTGAAGAGTCAGGGATGACTCCAGGGTTGAAAATCTGGGTGACTAGAAGGATCATGCAATTGTGGTATGGTGTAGACAAAATGAGAAAACTGAGGAAAAGAAGGTTTGGTGGAGGGAGATAATGAGTCTTATTTTGGACATGTTGAATTTAAGAGATCCAAAGGATATCCAGTTGAAAACATCCTATAGGAAGTTAGTGATACAGAATGGAAACTCAGGTGAGACAATTCTCTGTCCTTGTCTTGCCCTCGGAAGCTGCACAGAGAAGTCTTCTCAGCCTTCCACATGACAATGCTCCAGAACGTTAGAGACAGCTAGCATGTCTTCACCAACTTCAGCATCCCCAGTTCCCTCAATTATTTCTCACATCATATTGTTTCCAGATCCTTCACCATCCTGGTTTCCTTCTCTGGATGAGCTCTAGTTTGTCACCTTTTCTCTTTAAGATATACCCAGGGCTAAAAACAGTACACCCGATATGATCTGAGAAGCTCAAGGTGGTGGTTTGACTCTTTTATCAGTACAGCCTGAGCTTTTTTTTCTCCTTTTATTTACTTATTTTTAGCCTTAGCTTTTTTTGTCAGTCACTTCACTCATTGACTCATATCAAGTTTGTCCTTTTCTGAAACCAGACTCTGTATCTTCGTATGAATTGCCATCAAGCATTTTCTATGACCCTTCTTTAATATTTTACCATCTATAATCTTTTTTGACCTGAATGAAGGACTATATATTTGTCTTTGTTAAAATTCTTTTCGTTGGTTCCAGCTCAGCCCTGCGATCTGTCAAGATCTTTTTGACTTCCGATTCTGTTGAGCCCATGCATGAGTCCATTTGCATTGCTATGACAGCCCCCAAAAAGCTAGTGCCATTGCCATCTTGGGCTACTCTAAGAGAGGTGCGGATTCCAGGAATAAGAAAGAGATAACCCTACTATAGTGTGAACTGATCAGACCACATTTGGAATATTATGTTCAGTCCTGAGTGCTGCAGTTTAGGAGGAAAATTGATAAGCTGCAGATCATTGAGAGGAGGGCACCTAGAGTCTTGAGTTCATGTTATAGGAGGATTAGTTGAAAGAACTGGGGTGCTTAGCCTCGAGAAAAAAATACTCAGGGGGTATCAAATAGCTGTCTTCAAGTATTTGAAGGGCTAGCATGTGAAAGAAGAATTAAGCTTATTTATTTGTTTGTTTGTTTGTTTGTTTTTTGGGCCCAGGAAGGCAGAAGGAAGAGCAATGTGTAAAAGTTGCAAAGAAGCAAATTTAGTCTTGAAGTCAATCAAGTCAACAAGCATTTATTAAGCTCCTACTATGTGCCAGGCACAATGCTAATGCATTTAGGGTTGTTACAGGAAGAACTTCCTAACAATCAGAGCTATCCAAAAGTAGACTGTGCTGCTTTGTGGGAGAGGGGGTAGTATCTCCCCTTCATTAGAAGTTTTAGATCAAGTCAAGTCAACAAGCATTTATTAATGCTGTGTGCTGTGTGCCAAGGAATGTACTAACACCAGGCATACAAAGAAAAGCAAACACAAAACAAAACAAAAAACAGCCCCAGCTTTCAAGGAGCTCACAGTCTAATGGGAGAGACAACATTATACAAACAAGATACGTACAGGATAAATTGGAGACAACATCAGAGGGAAGGAAGGCACTGAGATTAAAGAAGCCTGCCGAGGAAAGGTTTCCTGTAGAAGGTGGGTCTTCCACTGAGACCTGAAGGAAGCCAGGGAAGCCAGAAGGCAGAGATGAGGAGGGAGAGCGAGCATTCCAGGCAGGAGGGATAGCCATAGAAAAGGCCCAAAGCCAAATCTTACTTGAGGAGAAGGAAGGGGACCAGTGACCCTGAATCACAAAGTGTGAGGATGAGAGTAAGGTGTAGGAAAATAAGAGACTAGTTGTTGAGTATTTTGTTGAGTGTATTGTAGTGAAGATTGTGAAGAATTCTGTTTTAGGTATGAGCTGTCACTAGACAGCTACTGAGGTCCCTTCCAACTCCAAAATTCTGTGATTTTTAATTTTCTTTCCCCACTCTACCCCACCCCCATTCAGGTTTTTACTTCTTCAGATCATTAGGGTCTCTGGCTCTAGCTACCTAGGAAATTCATGTAAAATCTGGAATTACCCAGTTGGGTACATCTGCTGTGCTAGAGAAAACATGACCAGGGAAAGAGAGGTAGAAAAAGTCTGGTCCCAGCCCTCTATATCAGTGTAGTTAGTCCCTTGACCTTATTTTTATTCCTAATATGCCCCCATTTAAATAATTGAATCAGTCTAAAGGCATGTTTGGCGTCTAGTTCTAATCTATTCCCTCTTTAGCTGTATGACCTAGGGCAAATCACTTACACCTCATCTGTAAAGTGGCTAATTGATCTCTAAATTCCCTTCCAACTTTGATATTCTAGAATTCTCTGATATAAAATTACTCTGGTCTTCATTTCTCTTTTTCTTTCTTCCTATCTCCCCTGTTATCCCCTAAACCTCAGCCCCCCTAAGGCCATTTGCTTGTGTCTGTGGCCACACCATTTACATCTTCAGCATGGCTGAAATTGACCCACCCTGAGCACTTAGATGGCAGAAGATTCACCCATCATAGAATCATAGCATGTCAGAGCTTGAAAGGAGTTTGGAGACCATCTAATCTTACCTCCTTGTTTTACAGATGAGGGCACTGAGACCTAGATGGTAAAGTGGCTGACTTATTATCAAATGAGATAATTTTTGTAAAGTGCTTAGCACAGTAGTGCTTGGCATGTGGTAGGCCCTATATAAATGCTTCTTTTTTCCTACCTTCCTTTCTTCTTTCATTTCTTCCTTTATCCCTCCTTTCCTCTTTCCTTCCTTCCTTTCCCAAACCCACAGTGAGTTTCAAAGCCAGGACTAAAACCAAAGTTTTTTGTTGGATAGCGTCTAGCACGTAGTATGTGCTTAGTAAATGTTAGTTGACTTGATTTGTCTAAGTCCTGTGCTTTCTCAAACCTGGCACAACGCAACTTTTCCAGGTTTGTAATTAGAGTGATGTTACCTACAACCTCCTAGTTATACATACATCATTGAGTGCACTTTGTATGGAGAAACTTGCACTGAGAGCTCTGGGAATATCATAAAAAATCACAGAACATCAGAGCTGGAGGAGTCCTCAGAGGTCAGTTAATCCAACCTGTCCCCGGGGAAGGCATCCCTCTTTACCACATCCCTCAAAGACACTGGCTCACCCTACTGAAAGTCTAAAGAAGAAGAACAGGTCACACCCACAGAGAAGCGAGCACATTTACAAAACAAAACAGCATGGCATCAGTGTCCCTGCCTTCTCCCTTCTCTCCTCTCTCCATTCTATTTTTCACTGAACTGACAAAGTGATTTTCCCAAAGCACGGATATGCTCATGTTACCCCCCCTTCTCAAGGTCTTCCAGTAGCACACTGTGAAGGCCAACCAAACTGACCTTCTTGCTCTTCTTCACACATGAAACTTCAAATCCCATCTGGGTACCTGTGGTCTCATGGAATGTTGTCCCTCCTCAACTCTGCCTCTTAGAATCCCTAGTGTGCTCCAAAGCTCAGTTCAAAAGCCATCCACACAAGGATTTTCCTAATCCTCCCAGTTACTGGTGTCTTTTACCCCAAAATTTCCTTCACTTTATTTTATACATATGTATAAATCCACGTACATATTTTGTGCATAGGTATATATTTATATACATACATATATATTTATATGTACACATATGTGTATATGTTGTCTTCCCAATAGAATGTAAGCTCCTTGAAGGCAGGGCCAGTTTCGTTTTTGTCTTTGTCTTATCTGGGGGCAGATCCAGACCAGTTTTGATAAGTGGAATGACTGGAATGGAGATAGCTAGATGGCTCAGTGCCATCTAATGCTGGGATATAGTGCTGGGAAAGACCCAAGTTCAAATCCAGTCTCAGATACACTCAAGCTGTATGTCACTTAACCAGGTTTACCTCAATTTCTTCAAGTATAAAATGGGGGTGATGATAGCAACTACCTCAGAGAGTTGTTATAAGGGTCTAATGAAATAATTGTAAAGTGCGTGGCATAGTGCTCGGGACATAGGCACTACATAAATGTTAACTATAATAATAACAATTATCATTATCACCTCCCTGGCAAGATTGTTGCGAAGATCAAATACAATAAACTCTTTGCTCAGTACCTGGCACTTAGTAACGTAGTAAATGCTATATAACTATTAGCTAGTAGTAGTTACAATAGTAGTGGTAGTACTAGTAGTAGTTCCAGTGCCTAGCACAGGTTCTGGCATATAGTAACATAGTAAGTTCTCTATGAATGCTAGTTATTATTATTATTATTATTATTATTATTATTATTATTATTATTATTGTTATTTGTAGCCCCAGTGCCTAGCACAGGATCTGACACATAGCAGGTACTTGTTGAATGATTGCCAAAGGTCGTTTCAGTAGGAAGTAACAATGTTGGAATTCAAACCCAAGCCTTCTGTTCCCAGATCTAGTCATTTTTTCCAATATCAGGTCTACTTAACCCCAGAGGGCAGAAATAGGAACAAAGGGAGAGTCAGAAGAGAGGGGAAGTCCCAGAGGGAGAAGTTTTGACTCAAAGGAAGGAAAATTTCCTCATGGTTAGAACTGTTCAAAATGGAAAGGGCTGCTTTAACAGATAGTGAAGTCCTTATACTTGGAAGTTCTACTAGAGATGTTTTGGGATGAGTCAGTGGGGAGGACCCTGTTTAATTATGGGTTAGTTTAGATGGCCACTGAGTTCCTTTCCAGCCCCAAGATTCTGTAATTCTGAATGACTGAATGTTAAGTGACATGGGGCAGGGGAGACGAGAAAGGTGGTCCTCCAGCCTTGACTGTGCTCTCTTCTCCCTCAGATGTATCCCCAGTGGTGTTGGGGCTCATCGGGGCCACCGTGCTGGTGGTGTCTGTATCCGTGACAGTCTTTGTCTGGACCTGCTGCCACCAACAGGCTGAGAAGAAGCACAAGACGCCTCCTTACAAGTTTATCCACATGCTCAAGGGCATCAGCATCTACCCGGAGACACTCAGCAATAAGAAGAAAATCATCCGTGTGAGGAGAGACAAAGGTGGTCCAGGGCAAGAAGGTGGAAGAGGGAATCTATTGGTGGATGCAGCTGAATCAGGTCTCCTAAGCCGAGAGAAGAGTCCTGGGGTACTGAGCACTAGCCCGTGTATAGACCAGCTCCCCATCAAGGTGGACTATGGGGATGAACTGAGCCCAGTTCAGAGCCTGACCCCTGGGGGAAGCAAAACAGCTTCCCCATCTTCCCCAGAAGAAGATGTCATGCTGGGGTCCCTTACTTTCTCAGTGGACTATAATTTCCCTAAAAAAGCCCTGGTAGTGACAATCCAAGAGGCACACGGGCTGCCAGTGATGGATGACCAGACCCAGGGTTCCGATCCCTACATCAAAATGACCATCCTCCCAGACAAACGGCACCGTGTGAAGACAAGAGTGCTACGCAAAACACTGGACCCTGTGTTCGATGAGACCTTTACTTTCTATGGCATCCCCTACAGCCAGCTGCAGGATCTTGTGCTGCACTTTCTGGTCCTCAGTTTCGACCGATTCTCCCGGGATGATGTCATTGGTGAGGTCATGGTGCCACTGGCTGGGGTGGATCCCAGCACTGGCAAGGTTCAGCTGACCCGGGACATCATCAAGAGAAATATCCAGGTGACATGGGCAGCACTGGGCAGGGAAAAGGGCGATGCCCCTGGGTGGGAGTGAGGAAGGGGTAAAGCTGCTGAAGAATGATAATGCTAATTCACATTTATGTGATGCCTTAAGGTCTATGAAAGTTTCCTCTCCTGTAAAGTAGAAGTAGGTGCCATAAGATTTATTATAGCTATTTTACAGATGACAAAACCAAGTTAGACCAGTTAAAGGACTGGACCAAAGGCACACCGCTAATACGGATCAGGAGGGGAGCTTAAATCCAGGTTCTCTCATTCCACACATGTAGTGCTCATTGTCCTTCCAGTGTCATTGGGAGGAGGGGAAGAATGGGGAGGGGGATAAGCATTTATTTATTTGTTTGTTTGTTTTTAGGCATTTGGGGTTAAGTGACTTGCCCAGAGTCACCCAGCTAGTAAGTGTCAAGTGTTTGGTCTGAGGCCGCATTTGAACTCAAGTCCTCCTGACTACAGGGTCAGTGCTTTATCCACTGCACCAACTACCTGCCCCCAGAATAAGCATTTATTAAGCACCTACTCTGTCTGTGCTAATAAATATGATCTCAGTTCATCCTTATGACAACCTGAGAGGTTGAGGAAAGACAAAGGTAGTAGTAGTGCTGTATAAGACATCCCTAGTGGTTGAGTGGACATTTGCTTAGAGCCTCTGAGATAACCTGGGACAGAGCAGTTATGATAATAAGCCGAGCTCCTGAAATTCTGCTCATTTGTACCATGCTGAGAGTATGCTGCTGTGTAGTAGAGAGAGCATTGAATTTGAAGTCAGAATACGTGGATCTGGGGACTGGGTTCACCACCTACTAGTTCTGTGACCTTGGGCAACCTCAGTTTCCCCATCTGTAAAATGGAGAGACTACTTACATTATCTACCTCATCAAGTTGTTATGAGGCTCAAATAAAGTAATGAATGCAGTCATTCTGTCAGTCAGCATTTAATGAGTGTCTGCTTTGTGCCAGGCACCATACTAAGTGCTGGGGATACAAAGAAAGGTAAAAATCCCTACCCTCAAGGAGCTCACAGTCTATGGGGGAGATAACATGCAAACAACTTTGTACAAACAAGATGCATACAGGGTAAATTGGAGATAATCAACAGAGGGAAGGCACTAACATGAAGAGGAATCAGGAAGGGCTTCCTCTAAGAGGTGGGATTTTAGCTGGTACTTGAAGAAAGTCAGGAAGGCAGGAGACAGAGCTAAGGAGGGAGAGAATTCCAGGTACTTTAACTATAAATCAATACATAAATGAGTTACTAATATTATTAATCAATATTTCCCAAGATCAATGTCTTCCTCTATCAACGCAGACAGAAACCCCTCCTTGGTAGTCTTATGAAACAATTTCTGTGTGCCTATGGCCAAAAATTAATTCATCCCCTAGTGACTGAGCCTCACAGAAATTGGCTGGGTTGGTCCTTGGACAACAGATCGAGATTTTGTTGCTTGGCTAGTATTCACAAAACATTTCCAGCTTAGGAGGACCTGCCAGAGCTTCTGCCCTGTTAGAACAGCTGTCAAGAGCCCAGGATCTCACCCTCACCATGATGAAGCATTATAAGACTTGAACAGAGGTTAGTAGTAGAAGTAGTAATGACATAATAATGACATCGTAATAATGGCATAATTATTGTAGTGTCTTCTTCTTCTTCTACAGAACATGTTCAGGCTGCCCAGCAGAGAGTGTCCCGGGATCCTTTCTGAGTGGTTGACTCTGTAGCTTAACCACTGACTCCCATTCAGGAAATGGCAGGGCCAGGGAGGCTAATTTCCTACCTGGAGTGAAGTGTGGTCTCTCCAGTGAATTATTTCCCACAGCCCAGAAACCATGACAACCTCTTAATATATTCCTTTTCCAGCCTCAACCCAGCCCTGTAACTAATCTATTTCCTATCCAGGGCTTGAAAAGTAAAGATACATCACTGGTTCACCTTACATATGCTTCTGTTTCCCCTTCCTACTCTTCTTCCCTTATATATATTTGAAATGGAAGGCTCCCATTTCCAAACCCACAGTTGAATATCCATAAGCAGGGCCAGTTTTAAGGATAAAGGAGTAAATGACCATATTGTGGATACCCCTGTTCCTTAATTCAGTTAAATTCAATTCCATAAGCACATATTTAATAAGAATTTTCTGTGCCAAAAATGAATTTGTCTGACAAATTCGTATGACAAAAATGAAACAGCCCCTGGAAGCTCCTTAAGGGCAGGTAAAGAGGGAGTAGACAAAATATATAGATAAGTAAATACAAAATCATATATAGATATAGATACATATATGTATTGTGTATATGTATATGTTGTAATATATACATATATATATAACTTTGTTACTGTTGAGTCATTTCAGTCACGTCCAACTCTCCATGACCCCATTTGGGATTTTCTTGGCAAAGATACTGGAGTGGTTTGCCATTTCCTTCTCCAGCTCATTTTTACAGATGAGAAAACTGAGGCAAACAGGGTTAAATGACTTGTCCAGAATCACACAGCTAGCAAGTGTCTGAGGCTGGATTTGAACTCAGGTCTTCCTGACTTCAGGCCCAGTGCTCCATCCACTGTGCCACCTTGCTGTCCATTATGTGTATGTATATGTGTGTGTGTGTTTATATATGTATCTATAATATTATCATATTATAGATACATATATAAACATATACATATATATACACATACATACGTGTGTGTGTGTGTATGTGTGTGTGTGTGTGTGTGTGTGTGTGTGTGTGTGTGTATAAAATACAGTCATATCAGGGATGAGGAAGGACTAAAAACTTGGGAAATTAGGAAATAGTTTTTCTACTATCCATCCCCCAACTCTACCCTGAAATCCCCTCTATTTTTCCATAGAACATCATAGCTGGAAGAGACCTTAAAATTACCCAGTGCCTTATTTTACTTATGAGGACAATGATATCCAGAAAAATAAAGTGACTTTGCTCAAGGGCATCCAGTGTTCAGGAAGTTATACATATCTCTCCAGCCTCTCAATTCCAGCCTTAGAGTTTCATTCCTTTAACCTAACAGGGAGTGGTGAGTGCCCCCATCACTAGAAGATTTCAAGCAGAGGATGTTATCGGTGCTTTTGCAGATTAGATTCATCCAGTGGGTTAAGGTTAGACTAGATAACCCCTGAGGTCCCTTCCAGCTGTAGTTCTGGGATTAAGGCTTTGATTCCTGCTGCCCTGTCCTCCCAGGAGAGGAAATCCTCTGGTCTGTTCTTAGACATGCCTACTTTTGTATGTGTTAAGCCTTTCTTGAAAATGTGTCTTTTATTAGAGGGGGTCTGGTGAGGGTGTTTGTTGCTCAGTTGTTTCAGTCGTGTTCAATTCTCCGTGACCCCATCTGGGGTTTTCTTGGCAAAGATACTGGAGTGGTTTGCCATTTCCTTCTCCAGCTCATTTTACAGATGAAGAAACAGAGGTAAACAGGGTTAAGTGACTTGCCCAGGATCATACAGCTAGTAAGTATCTGAGACTGGATTTGAACTCAGGTCTTCCTGCTTCCAGATCCAACACCCTAAACACTTGACCACCTAACTTGTTAATAAACATTTATTAAGCACTTACTGTGTATAGAAAGCTCTGTGCCAGAAGCCTAGGGAAATTGAAAAGTTTCTGTGAAACATGGCCCTGAGGGGCAGCTGGGTGGTGCAGTGGAGAGAGTGCTAGGCTTGGAATCAGGAGGACTCATCTTCATGAGTTCAAATCTGGCCTCAGACATGTACTAGCTGTGTGACCATGGGCAAGTCACTTAACCCCAATTGCCTTTAAAAAAAAATGAAAAAAGAAAAGAAAACATGGTCCTGGCCTTACTGGAACTCAGTCTGGCAGGGGGCTAAAACACCATCCCAGATTGCTGTAATCCGCAACATCCCACAAGAATGGCCTTTGAGAGCTACAAAACAAAATGCTGTGTGAGGTCTGAGTGGGTGACAGTGGTTGGTAGTGTTGGAGGATCAAGGAAGACATCCTAGAGGAAGTGGCATTTGATTGGGCCTTGAAGAATACTTGTTCAATTGAACAGGTAAAAAGAGGTCATTCCAGGCTTAGGAAGCAGTGTAAATATAGGCGTAGAGAATATGGATGGAGTTGTGGGGAAAGAGATTATTCAGTCTCCTTTCCACCCCACCCCGACTGCACCCCCAAGCATTGATCTTCTCCCCACAGAGCCTCCCTCTGCCCTGGTGGCTGCTGCCCTTCCACTTTGCCTCCAAGTCTGGCCAGGCTCCTGCCCTTCCCCGAGCCCTTGACTGGCCATGTTCCCTTTCCTCCACATTAGTCAGTCCTTCTTCCCCTATCCTTTCCCAAAACATCCGTAGACCTTGGTGGTCAGCCAGATTCCTGCTGACTACAGCCAGGGCATGACCAGCCTTTCGAACCCCTCTTATGGTGGTGGTGGTGGTGGTGGAGGGAGAAGTAAGATGGACCCTTCCACACAAAAGCTACAGCTGAACAACAGGCTGGGCCTGGCCTCTGTGGAGAGGAGGGGGGAGATGGGGGATAGATTTGGTCTGGGAACCTAGCAGCCCCAAATCCAGGGCACTAGGCAGGGAACTCAGTCAATGACATTTGCTAAATAGCCAGGGGCTCTTGGCATGAGCTGTGTTTCTTTCCACTTTATTAATTCCCTTCAGAAGGAATAAGCCGGGACTGGGAGACAGAGCCGCCCTTCCCCCCAACCTCCTCCAGAAGGCCCCAGAGCAAGACGATACAAGAGTTTGTACAAAGAAATCCCAGACTGCCAGGGCTACAGAGGAGTCATCTAATCCAAATCCCTCCTTCCATGAGGCAGCCAGCCATTAATTCAGCAAACATTTATTAAGTACCCACTAGGCTTCCGATGGGAAGGGAGAAGGGGATGTGCTCCCTGCGCTCCTGGAGCTTACAGACCAATGAGAATGGGGACATAAGACACAAAAACATAACTACAGTACAATATTATTACCCAACAAGAACTTTAGAGAAGCACAGTGTTGGGTG